TAAAGCTTCTCTCTGACCACAGAAACAGGAGAACGGTGAGGAGGTGGAGGTGGACTTGAGCTCGTCTGTGGTGACTCTGTACGGTGTGGAGCTCTCCAAAAGCCCCCGCGGAGTGAGCGCTACTTTCACTGATTCAACCCTACGCTCCTTCACTGTACTGTACGACGGGACTCTGCTGTCTATCAACATGAAGGGTCAGTGTCGCCTCACAGAACGCTCTGTGTCCAATTAGGGCTGTCTGCTCCCATCTTTTAGGAATCAGAGGATCACATGTTGATTCAAAATGAACAATGTGTGTAGTTCCATCCGCACTAGTTTCAGGAACTTCTGGCACAAACACTGCCCTTCTGTCGAATCACTCAAATCTAGTTACATTCTGATGAATGTGGACAGAGTCTATTAAAGACAAATGATGTTCTTGTACAGTGGGATCTGCATGATGTAATGTCTCACTTCCACCACTAGATGGGAGTATTTCAAAACTCAACATCCATTACTTTCTCCATTGTAATGGTCCAGCTCAGCGAGGGTGAGGAAGGTGACAAAAATCCAAGATGTTAAATGGCAAAGCAAGTATTTAATAATAGGCAAGTACATGATAAGTTGACATAAATCAAAAGGACACAACACAGGCCATAAGGGGGTCACTCACTGTTACCAAAATAAAACCTAGACTTTACCTTAACATTTCTACACAAAGAAACTAAACACTAAACTGACTGCTGTCTCAACAAATGCAAATTGTCACAAAAACAAAACCTCAAAGTGACAACTAAAAATGAGACCAATAAAATATAATCTATACAGACCATAAGAACCGTCTATTAAGTCATTGTCACCCCTTGTGACAATGACAAACATTTTTGTGAGGACAAATGGCATACCAGCCACACCCAGGCTGGCAGCCCCGAACAGATGTGGAGTGTGGCCTTAAGTGGGAGAGTGACTCCAGGAGGGGAAGCTGGATTGGCCAGGTGCACCGCTGCTCCTCCAATCAGCACCTGAGTCATGGACTTCTGGGAGGTGGGAGGGCCATTGGTTCTCCAATCACAGGCCAGGGATATCGAAAGAGGAGGGGTTGCCACAGACACAAAAAACACACAAAATCCAAACAGGAAGCAATATCCAGGCCCAGGGCTGTAAAGTCCATGACACGGGTTTATCCAAACTGCTCTACTTATTTAGACACTATATCACATTCTCTAACATTGAGAATGTTAAAACCGTAGTACGTAACATTAACGCTATAGGAGACTTTACTTTCAAAGATAGTAATAAGCTAAAGTTCTTGCTCTAAAGCAGTGCGGTTCTATCAACAGGTTTCACATGAAAGTATTTTTGGCCTGTCACATCTTTAGATCACATTTTTCAGACAGAAAAGTGTCAATAGGACCAATCCTAAATACTTTTATCCGAAAAGGAAAATAATGACTTCCAGGGCTTTTTGTTTTTTCATAAGATAAAGACAGCACATTGTGGTCTGATTTGTTTTCAGCTTTTTACTTTTGCAAGACTTTATGGTTTTTATATGAAACAAAAGTTACACATCCCAGCTTTAATATAATTTTTGTGTCTTTATTTATTCAAAGTCTGAATTAACACTAATCCGTCAACGTTGATGTTTTTGAACACCTGTTGACACCTGTTTCTTGTTTTGGATCCAGCACCACGCTATTCGAGTCTAGTGAGCGGCCTCTGCCAAGGCTTTGCTCCACCCGGGAGCAATATTGACTGGAATCTGTCTGAAGACAAGTGAGACCAACACCACCCCTGCCCCCTCACACAACGCTCTGTGCTGAATCTCTTTCCTGCCTTTTTAAACACATCCTTGTTTTCTTCTTGACTTGTCTACAAAGAAATGTTGTTCAAAAAGATGAAATGACCAAGTTGCAGATGCTTGAGGTTTTTATATTCTTTTCTCGAACCACAGCCACTGCTTCTACTTACTGTGTTCAACCATTCGACAGTTACTCTGTTCAACTATTTGGCAGATGCACAGTAATCTTTTCACAAAGGAAAAAACAATGCTGATTGCTAACTTGATTTGCTGTCTGAGTGGAGCCTGTTGGGCCTTTGTTGTGTGACACTGCACAAAGGGGCAGAGTTCAGAGCGATACAGCAGGACTGAATACAGAAGTGCTCTCTATCATAACATTGTTTTAGATCAGTATTGAGTTCTCCAGTGTTCTGACTATATAACGATGAGACACAGGGGGCGCTGTAGAGCTATAGTGCGCTTCTTTCAGTACCATTCCTCTGTGTTTTGTTGCAGCTGTGACGTCGTCGTCCCAGACTCAGACAAAGACGACATCGACTGTGACGCGGTGACAGAGAGGTAAAACTGCCCCACACTGAGAACTCACTGATACCACCTTTATCTATGCTCCAAGACATCAGGAACTCCCCCCGTCCCTTCTGTCTGAATGCTCTGGTTTCAAACTCGTAACACTATGACAGACCCTCAGACAAAGCATTTCATGTTATCATTATTGAAATAAGTGTTGCCCAAAATCATAATATTTTCATGGTTCAAATATAAGTTCATTATGTTTCTTGATGTTCAAAGCATTGATTGATTTTCTAATCTGCTGTTGGCAAAGATTTTGTTTTGATTTTGGGATGCATTGTATTTTAATGTATGGTATTATTCCACAGTGGTCTCATGTCTGTTTGATACTTATTTTAAGAGTCCTGACCTGAAACCTTGGATTGGGAATCCCTGAATTAGACCATGTTATCTTCAATTTGAATTCGTAAATTTCTCCATTGTGAGATCAATAAAGTTTATCTTATCTTTTTTAAATACTATACTAAGATGTATTGTGCTACTAGATGGGAGTGCTGCTCATTCTTGGCATCTCAATTCATCAGTTTTAGCCCTACATTTTCCACTTAAAGCAGGGATACCTTCATTTTGTTTCTCTTTAAGCATAATGCTGTGAACAAATCAGCCCAACATGCTGTCCTCATCAAATCATAAATCATGTTATCTTTTGTATATACTGTATGAAAGGGCCCTATGTGTCACAAAATGATGCTTTGGGCTGAGAAAGCATCATTTTGTGTCTCACTTTACTCTCTTAAAAGTCTGATGTGACAAAATACATGCATGTGAAAACTAGTGGTAGAACCAAACTGTTAAAGAGGCAAGGACCTGTGACATGGATTGTAGTGTATCGTTCCAGTCTCGTGGTCTCAGTGTTTTTTACCCCAGCTTTAAAAAGTATTCCACATAGTAAAACATGTATTACCAGAGTACACAGTGTGCAGCTGATGTGTTGGGCCTGGGTGTGTGTGTTGTGCCACAGGTGCAGTGCAGAGCTCACGTCTCTGAAGGATGCCTTCGGATGCCACTTCTCCATAGCTCCTTTTGTGGACAGCTGCTCCAGAGACCTGCTGTGTTTGTACCCGGAGGAGGACGGTCTGCTCTGCGCCGTGAAAGACGCCTTTGCCACGACGTGCGGCTTTGGCGACGAGTGGAGGAGCGCCGCAAACTGTGGTGGGAATATTTATTCTATCACCAAGACAAGTCCAAAACAACATGACATTACTCATTATTTTATACTGTATATCAATCCATCCATCCATTTTCTTCCCCTTAATCCATTTCTGGGTCGGGGGGGTGGCAGTCAGAGCTGCACCCAGTACACAGACCCCGACGCGCGTCCGCTTCGTCCTATTGGTACTTATTTTCCGATAATGACCTGTGTACTATACATTATCCCTCTTATTATACGGCTTTGTACTAACCGAACAGACACAAAATAAACTTCAGTCCACTTTTATGAATGCTGAAAGGTTTATGTAATGACAGAAAATAAAAGGTTTTCCCGTGGCAGGCGAATAACAGTTAGCCTAAAACTACTTCCAAACTAGAACTCTAAATGAAAACGGAACAAAGAATCCTGAACATCAGTGGTGAGTGACCCATATAAAAACTCAACCTTAATCCATAATTTGATCCTCTGCAAATGTGTCTTAAAATGTGATTTCATGTTAATTGTAACTTCCGGGTTTACCACTATCGATTTTTGTCACATTAAAACAGTATTTTTGTCATGAAAACATTGACAGATAATTCTGAAAACCTCTGTGCACGTGTGTTACGAATGTAAATGTTTAATGTATTCTCCGATTAACATTTAAATGTGTTGATTGATTGGTATTTGCGTTTATTGAGCGTGGCTAGGGAGGAAGTGGCCGGAACTACTTGCGGAGTAATCTACACACCTGAATTACAAGCAGAGATTGTGTTGCCATGGGCAGCGGTCATTATTGTTTTGAGAGGTCGGTTATCAAGAAATAATGACCGGTAGAACGTTTTGAAATGACAATCAGATCAATGGAGCGTTCTACTGCTGCTGTGAGGAGCCGTGTAATAAATATATTTATACACCACATGGACACAACACTCATCCTTGTGCTCGCCCGCAGCACTGTCCCCCTGTGTGGACCACGCCTGTGCTGACCATGAGTTCTGTGCCATTAACGCCGTGGGTGATCCGGCATGTTTCTGCCAGGATATTGTGGCCACGCCCTACAGGACTGCCGGCACTTACGGTATGGAGACATCTTTGACATCGGTGCTCAAAATACGTGATAGAGTTGTGAATATTCTAATTACTGAAACATGTAGACTTTTGTTGTGGTGTCTGACAGCCGCTTTTGTGATGGGTTCTGGCTCCGCCTCTCTCCTTATTTCACATCCTACACTTATAATATAATATAAATAATACTAATATAATATAGTATAATACATTCAGTATATTGAACATTTCACTTTACAGGTGATGTGAGCTGTGACTCCGCCTCTGTCTCCGCCTCCCTCCTAACCTGTTTTCTGGAGGAGAAGGGGGTGGAGCCTTCCACTGTGCACCTTCTGGACCCCAGCTGCACCTCAGTGTCCCAGGACCAGAGCAAGAGCCTCCGCTTAGACTTCAGCTCCACCAACCTGTGTGGAGGCACCATCAACGTGAGTCCTTTTATTTATGAGCTGCATTTGGTGAATATTATAGGACTCTCACCAATGAGATGAGGTCCCAAAGAGCTGAGGTCCCAAATAGTTGAGGTCCCAAAGAGTTGAGGTCCCAAAGAGCTGAGGTCCAAAATAGTTGAGGTCCCAAAGAGCTGAGCAAAGAGCTGAGGTCCCAAAGAGCTGAGGTCCCAAAGAGTTGAGGTCCCAAAGAGCTGAGGAAAGAGCTGAGGTCCCAAAGAGCTGAGGTCCCAAAGAGCTCAGTACAGAGTGAATGAAGAATGCTATGAATTAAGATAAGAGATCCTTTATTCGTCCCACAGTGGGGAAATTATAGTACTGTTCCACACGGGGGCGCTGTAGAGCTGCAGAGACAGACACTTTCATAAGTTGGTGTTTTGTGTTTCTTTCAGGACACTACAGATCAGGTCGTCTTCTCCAACATCATCTCAAACACTGTGAATAGCTCTGCGGATGTCGTCATGTACCAGAACCCACTGTCCATTCACTTGTCCTGTGCCTACAAACCCACGATCACTACGGCAACCATCACCATCTCAGACGGGTCAGTGTCTGAAAGTGTATCTGGAACATACTCATGGAAATTAGAGGAAGTTTATTCACTGTTTTATCACAAAATAAATGTGAGAACATATAAAAACTGAAACATCTGCTTGTGTTGAGTATTTATACATAAATAATATTGTTTTGGCAGTCAATATTTTATTGATGAAAATGGTTGTGCACTATGTAAGAACATTTTCTAAAATATATGGAAATAAGTACACTTTTAAAAATGAAACTTTTTAAGTTTTTAACACTACACTTAGGCCCTGTCCACACGAAGTCAAGCTCAGGCCTAAACGCAAAAATACTTTATCAATCCAGTGTATCGTCCATACGAGGCCGGCGTTTTGGTGGGGTGTAAACGAACATTTTTGAAACTAGGTCCCAGAGTGGAAAGATTTCAAAACTCCGTATATGCCGCTCCGTGGTTACTGCCTCTCCGCATTGTATCTGAGACGCTTGCGTCATCGCCCCGCCTCTTGTTAAAGCACGCATGCGCCGCACTCAGAAAATAATGACAACAACAATGTAGCTTGTTGGTTTTGTAATCCAGTGTGACCCGAAGCAACAGTTCAACCTCATCGTCCGCCCATACTAATGTAGTACCAGCTCGCCCACTCGCCATGTTGTCTGTTTACAAAATTCCGCGCATGCCCACGGAAGTTTGGGCTTGATCCCGTCATTGCGTCACAGCGCCACCAACAGGTCTGGCATAGTTTCACAGCGTTTTCAGGCGTATTGACTACATTCATATGGACGCACACATTTACTGAGCTAACTCCGTGTTTACAGAAAAAGTTTCTGAAATTATAAGCGTTTTGTCTTCGTGTGGATATAGCCTTAGCAAAACAAGTCTTTATGGACATTCAGGATATCAAAATCAAAACAGTTGCAATGTTGGTTCCGAAATATTGTATTTAGGTGTTTTGTCAAAAATAGCACAGCCATAGTGTATAACTATTTGTGTAACTGTGTGTATTTGGGCATTGCTGTGTGAAATTGTAACTGTGTGCATTTTGTGTGTATTTTGTGCGTTGCAGCTCTGTGACCCTGGTCTACCCCGCTGGAGAGTTCCTGTACAACATCACCATTAGCCTGTTCACAGACGAGGACCTCTCGATGGCCGTGGGGCAGGACACTACTCTGTTACTGAACCAGAAGCTGTGGGTGCAGCTGGAGGCTGAGGGCGTGGGGGGCTCGGACCTGGCTCTGTTCATCCAGGACAGCTGGGCCACACCCTCAACGGAACCCACGGACAGCCCCCGTCATGACATCATCACACAGGGGTGAGTGCACGTCCTGTGGTCAGCTGTGTCCTGGTGTCCCCCTCCTTCACTACTTAGTGCACAATTATTAGTGACTATAAAGCCCTAGTGTACACCTCCTTTACTTCTAGTTCACACTTGTGTGTCCACAGTGTGCTCTCTCACTTGTGTGTTGTGTGTCTACAGTTGTGCGCTCTCTCACTTGTGTGTTGTGTGTCTACAGTTGTGTGCTCTCTCACTTGTGTGTGTTGTGTGTCTACAGTTGTGCGCTCTCTCACTTGTGTGTGTTGTGTGTCTACAGTTGTGCGCTCTCTCACTTGTGTGTGTTGTGTGTCTACAGTTGTGCGCTCTCTCACTTGTGTGTTGTGTGGCTGTAGTTGTGCGCTCTCTCACTTGTGTGTGTTGTGTGGCTGCAGTTGTGCGCTCTCTCACTTGTGTGTGTTGTGTGTCCACAGATGTGAGAACTCTGAAGACTCCGTGGACATCATCTCGAACGGCGTGTCACTGACTTCAGTCTTTGCCTTTCGCCTGTTTGAGTTCATTGAAGCGCCCTCTGCTGGTCTCAGTCTGCACTGTCAGCTCAGGCTGTGCATCGTCGGCAGCAGCTGCACCATGGTAACGCCAGTAATGCAGCTTTAGTGTGTGCAATGTGTGTAACACTGCTGTTTGTGTGTCTTTCAGCCCACGTGTGCGTAACGGCCCAGATGCGGTGAGTAAGAGAAGGACGTTAGGCCCTGACAAACTATGTACTTGTACAAATAAAGTAAACTTATCAATTTTGTCAACCACAAAAACATGTGAATCTGTAACAGACAGATGTGCCAAGAGCAATTATCTTCCCCATTGAGCCTGTGCGCTCGAGTCGTTTTAATTCATTTACACACGAGCCGCAGCTGAACATGTCTGTAAACGTATCTGCTGCTTAATGCTTTTTGACAGAACAACCTCAAAAGAAAAACAAAGTTTCCACGAGCACTTGCACAAAGTAGTCAGTAGTGAGCGAGATGTGAGTGTTATAAGTGACATTTACAATTAGAAGCACAAAAACATCTCTTTCCTGCCAAATCAAAAGTCTATGGAATGAACACAACACAGTCATTACTTGATCATGAATAACATTCTCATCATGAATTGAAGCAAATGTGATATTCTGAATTGTGACACCCCCTTCATAAATCTGACTCAATGTAAAAGTAGATGGTTTCATAAAGTGTGGGCACCTGTGGTTTATAGGAAACAGCACTGACAGTAACAAAGTTTTTATACTCGTCACCCTAAACCAGACATGGGCAAACTTCTCCTCCTGAGGGCCACATTGGAGATTAGGTCCGGTCTGATATTCCAATGTTTTTCTCAGGCTTCATTTTAAAACACAAATGTAATGTTTAAATAAATAAAAATAGCTCTGCACACAGCACAGAGGGGGATTGTATGATGTTTAAACTGAAATTACCCCACTGTGGGATGAATAAATGGTCTTAATCCTAATCTCTCTTGATCTTAATCTTAATCTATACAAATTGAGGAGCGCTCAGGAGCCTGATAGAAGCATCCAAAGGGCCACATCTGGCCCACGGGCCGGGGTTTGCCCACCACTGCCCTAAACGGTTATCTCCAAATGCAGAAGTATAATTCAAACTGAATGGCTAATTTACATTTATTTTGTGTTCTAATTTAGTTTTTGTTTTTTTTCACAGGGGTTTCCTTTACAAACTGTTTTGTTTGGATGAAATGTTTGAATACTCTGGGTAAAATACATATATCTTTGTTATAATTAACATGAATATCATTTTCTTTGTTAATGACAATAATGAATGAAAGCTTATCCATTATGGGGTTAGTTGTTTGGAAATTTAAATCGTTGTTGAGTTGATTACACATGATTTATTTTTTGTGCCAAGTCGATTGTGATGTCACCAATAAATTGAATAAAAATCTAATTCTCAAATGGAATTTATTTTCATCTTCTTTCAACAAATGTTTTTTGATACTTGTTTGTTACAAAGTAAACACAGCTTTACCCTTCACTTGGCGCGTTAAATTACATTAGACACTTTAATCGCACTAAACACATTACATAGCAGGAATTATTGTACAATACTGTAAAAAAAATGTTGAAACATTATTTATTTGTCCTGATTAGAGCTCCAAGGCACAAAGACACTGTGTTTGAAGCTGATTGAAGCTGATTGAGCTTAACATTAGGTACCCCAGTTTTAAGTATACATTTTTTTCAAATCTAACATTTTAAAATTGTCTAGGAATATCAAATCTAATGTATGGATAAATATAGATCTTGAGTAGAGACCTCTATCTGGTGGTATAAGAACAAACATCCAGCTAATTCAATCATTTACAGAGTGCACCAACCGGATTGTACATGTACAGTGACGCTAATACACCATACAAAACGTTACAAGAGTACTTTAAGATGATCAATTATTGTGTCCATAAGTCAATTTTGTTGGATGGCGCATTGTTGATTTTTGCCGAAGACAGTTCCATAAAAGATATGTCCAGAGTGAATGACACATCATCTATGATTTTTCTGGCTGCTGAGAGGCCGGCATGGATGGTTTGTTTATTTGAATGTCAGACCAGAGAGGTGGAGTCTGCACCAGGAAGTGAAGAGGAGGATGCTTCTTTTCTTTCTGAATGACACTTTCACAGCGACATGGGCCTGGACGGTAAGAATCTTTCACTTCCATTATACACATCTACTTTCCCTTTCACTTTAACTAATGAGTTTCTGACCAGTGGATCTATCATTGTAAAGTTTATTTTGTATCACACTTTTTCTCATGAATAAAATGTGATGAGATACAAAAATATGTGAAAATGTATAAAGTAATATTTGTGAGTGTGAGGGAACAGCCATATGGAATTAGTTACATTATTAAAATTGCCCCCAATAAACGAATAACACTTCAGAAAACATGAGAAAACATGAGATGAACCACTACAGTTCTATAATTCATAATCTCACTTTATTATTATGGTTGTAATCTCAAATATTTTGACCATCGTACATAAAAAATACAATCAAAACTCAATCTTTGCTCAGAAGATGTGCATCCATCACTCATAGTATTGATAGTAAATATACAGGAGGTAATGGAGACTTCTTCTACAATGGAACCTCTCTGCCTGTGATGTCAAAGTCAAGAAGAGCAGTTTTCTGACAGTTTAAACATTAATCCAACAAGATAAAGACGTTGTTTCATATTTAATGTGTTTCTTCACTATTGTGTAAATGAGTCATGCTTTGGCCCTTGATCATTTCGTGGATGCTATGATTCTGAGTCTGGTGGCAATCCAAAATACTGTGCAGCCGTTGAAAGTGAGGAAGAAGCAAAGGGCTACTTCTGCACAGACATCACAACCTTTATCCACAGAACCCAGAGGTCTCGGCACCACCGCCTCAAAAGAACTCAACACCTCCGCCAGCATCATCATCATCAGCAGCGGATACAGCACCAGTAGCAGCAGTGGCTGCCACAGCGTCATCAGCGCCATCCGTATCAGCGCCACCAGCACCAGCAGTGACTGCTGCATCATCTTCAGCAGCACCTTCCCCACCTACAGCTCCCGTGAAGCCCCCCCCATTGTTCCAGGCTACAGCAGACAGGCCTGTACTGGGGGCCTCTCAACCTCCTCCGTCTCCACCAAACACTCCCTCATCACCTTCCATGGACCCGGTTTGGGTCCCCCCCTGCCACGTCCACTCCATCTAGGGAAAATGAGGACGACCTTTCCCTGTGTTTTCCATCCCCGCCTTCACTACTGGAATTACCGGAACACTCTGCAGGCATGATAAGATCGGCGATGAAGACTATTCCTCTCACACCCACTGTAGCCAGATCAAGAGTCCTATCTAACATTCAAAACTACTCCCCATACGTACCTCCAAAGCCACCTAGGGCGTCCAACTCAAATTCTCCCACAAAATCCACCCGTCAGTCAAATTCTAACTCAAATTCACCCACAAAATTCCCCAACACCCAAGAACCACCCACCTCTCCATCCTCCTCCCCCGCTTTCCCCTTCTCCTCTTATCTCTAAACACTAGGATGCACAGGGTCTCTGCTTCACAGGCACTGGCAGTCTAGTTAGAGGAGAGACCCAGCTGAGGCCCTGTAAAGAAGCTACCTGTGCCATTCCCTTAGTGATAACACAAAGAATACATAACAGAGAAAAAAAAACATCTGAAGTTAATCAGTCTACTCTGAAAAATCTAGTTCATGTTCAGTGTAAAAAATCAGCCGACCACAACCGCTGATACTGAATCTTTGAAACTTGCTATGCTAAATGTCAGATCTCTTTTTTACAAGTCTTTTTTAATCAATAATTGTATTTGTTCTTATAATCTTGATCTTATGTTTATGGCTGAAACTTGGCTTGACCGATATACAGGAAATGCAGTTTTAATAGAAGCATCACCACCAAATTTCAAATTTGAATCAGAAATACGGGAAAACAGAAAGGGGGGAGGCATAGCTGCAATTTTTAGAGACCACTTTGTCTCCCATAGAATGTCTCTTGGGAAGTTTTCGTCATTTGAATATGTGTCTTTTAAAATACAACAAAAACAATCTCTTACAATACTCTTCATTGTTCTTTACAAGCCACCACAGTCATGTCACAGTTTTATTGATAATTTTACCGAGTTGCTTTCAGTTGTATGCACAGATTTTGATAGTTTAGTTATTACAGGGGATTTTAATATTCATGTGGATAATGTTAATGACAGAAATGCAAAAGAGCTGAGTTCTTTACTTGATACCTTTGGTCTCACTCAGCACGTGAGTGGCCCCACCTACAGCAGAGGGCACACTCTAGACCTGTTAGTTACAAAGGGGGTGAACATTTCTAATGTAAACGTGGTCGATGTTGCACTTTCGGATCATTTTTGTGTATTTTTTGACATGTGTTTCACTAACAAACCACCAGTGGACTCTGCAACTGTTCGAAGAAGACACATAAATGAAAATACAAGTGAACTATTTATGGGAATGATAAACTTTGAAAATGCATCGTATTCTACTGTGGATGAACTGTTTAACTCTGTCACCTCTAGTGTTTTGAATGTTCTGGACACCATCGCTCCTGTGAAGGTTAAAATAGTGAAAAATAAGCAGAAGGCGCCGTGGGCTAAAGCAGACTCGGTCAGAGCACTGAAGAGAAAGTGCCGGAGGGCCGAGCGGAAGTGGTGCAAGTCCAACCTCCAGGTTGATTACAGGATATTCAAGGATAAGTTGTGCGAGTTTAACCGGGTGCTACGTAGTACAAGAGAAAGGTATTTTTCTGAAATGATTGAAGGTTGCAGTAACAATCTGCGTGTTCTGTTTTCAACAGTTAATAGATTAACAAATCCCCCTGTTCAGCTGCCAGTAGAGCTCACTTCCAAACGTAAATGCAATGAGTTAGCACATTTTTTCAATGACAAGGTTCAAGGCATCAAAAACGCCATTGTCTCCAATCCACAGATACAGTGCCTTGCGAAAGTATTCGGCCCCCTTGAACCTTTCAACATTTTGCCACATTTCAGGCTTCAAACATAAAGATATACAATTTTAATTTTTTGTCATGAATCAACAACAAGTGGGACACAATCGTGAAGTGGAATGAAATTTATTGGATAATTTAAACTTTTTTAACAAATAAAAAACCATGAAGACAAAGGAACACACCAGGCA